ATTAGTGCACACAGTTTAACACCCTGTAAATTCAGCTGCAAAAGAATGTTGTAAATATGGTTAGCTCTAGTATGGGAGATTTCAGGAAAGCTTTTTGATTTTGAAGGCTGTCTCATTCAATTTGACAGTCTTAAAGAGCACAAGCCTTACTTGCTCAGCTTTTGAAGYTCTGCTTATTTGCTGAGCACAAATGGCTATCCAACCTACTGTGAATTTAGAAAATTTCTTCATAACCTATTACTACTTCTCTTTGTAAACCTTTAACATTTAAGGCTTGCAACAGAGGGAGAATTGCTGTGAATATTCTTGYCTGTTTAAATTTGGTTATCGTGAAATTTCAGTGATTGTCCTGGTGAGCACTATTTGCAGTCCCTCTGGTTAAACAAGTCACACACTGAAAAGAATTGTTGGAGATGGGTTTCAGATGGTTGTTTTTGTGCTCTATTTAATCCAGGTCTTTCCAAAAGAGGAATTTGAACCTTGATCTTTCAAGGCTTATTGTCTCCTTTTTGTCCTTTGCTTTCTTGTCTTTCATAGTCCTGGCTTATTGTCTCTTTCTAGTTCCATTAGGTCAAAACAAAACCAGGGAGAAAGGTGATACTTCTTTGTACAAGAACATATACGTCTACTAAAAATTTACATTGTGATAATCATCAATTTCTAGATTAAGATTTTTTTTGGGATTTTGTTGCTGTTTTAATTTAGCCAGGAGGTAATACTTAGTATTTAGGAACTTATGAGTAATATCAAGACTAAACTCCATCTTCATGGAAAAACATGTACAACCTGTGTTTGACTGGGATTGCCAAACTAATGCTAAGTTTATGATTKCCCATGTGTGCAGTCAAGAACTATACCACATTTTGAAAACCTCCTGAGCAATCTTGTGCTGTTTGTAACCATCAGTACYGTCGAGATGAAGTGAAAAATGAATGCYTGGTGAAAGTGCAACAGTGAGTACYGGGATAAGTGAGATGTTTGCTGGAGTTCTGATAGGCACATCGAGGTWAATGATTTTGGTTGTGCTGGGTTGTGTGCCTGATCCCAAGCAAACTGGCTTACTTAGGGTACTGTGCGAGCTGGTATTGGCCCATGCTGTCTTGTGTGTCCTGGGATTCTTGGACTTCGTGAGTTTGCTCTCAGTGTTAGCTGTAAAACAAAGCTGGGGGGGGAATGCAAATGTGTTTGTTTGAAATRACTTCGAGTGCAAGGTTGAAGCTAATGATCTGATTAGATGTGTATAAAAAAAATCTCTTAGGAGGATATTGCATCTGAGGGCTGCGAGGAATAGTTTGGAGCAAGTGCTAACCTTGTTTTGTTAGACAACTACTATAGCCAATACTAAGAGTAAAATATTATGGTAGGTGGACCCTGTAGGGTCAACAACTTTATTTTGTGGTAGTCTGACAAGCTAGTTGGTGTATGATATAGACTCAATATACCTTTTACATAACCTCAGCATGTCTSATCTCTGCACCTGGCTCCTGTTGATGTCTCCTGTACTGCAGTGCCGAATTTGACAGCTCCAGATTGATGCTCCCTGGTTCCCAGCACGTGCACCGTGGTACGGGAGCGTGTTGAGGCAGGGCAGCCCTCGTGACTGCTGATGGCTTGTGCCTTAGTGATGCTGCTCCTYCAGTCCCACGTGTGTGTGATGGCTTGTGGCCATAACTTGTACACATCTTCCCACAGCAGATGTCTCGGGGATTTTGATTTTAAACTGGTTAAGTAAAAGGAGCAGAATGCCCCAGAGTAGCAAAGGGACTTCTGTGTTATCTTTATAACACCTTCTCAGTGCMAGTGAGATGTTTCTTCTTAGGCAGTTGTGCTCGTGTTAAGTCGTGCTTAAGCACGTATGCTCGTGTTAGCATATGAGCACTTTTTGTGATTCACTGTTCAGGGTATTTTGTACTTGTGGGGTTACAAATTCCTGGAGAAAAGTTGCTTTAGGAACTTGCACAGTCCTCTTCAACTGCTCGAATTAGCTCAGCAACAGACTGATCAGCCTCTGAAACTAAGGCTGTGCAAGGAGCACTGAAATAATGTTATTGTGCAAATTCAGTATTATATCTGAAATTACCCGTTTTCTTAGTTCCTTTCAGTACAGCCTTGTTTGTCTTTGCAGTACAAGCTTGTGCAATCCCGTATGCAGTGTGCCGGGGGAGCCCTCAGCATGGCAGAATTGAGCAGGTCCTGGCCTGGCTGCTGCTGGCTCTGCTTTTGGAAAAAGACGCTCAGAATATTGACTTTTGTGCCTGTTAGAAAACCAGGTCTTTCCACTGGTTGTAGGGTAGTGTGTTCACATAGGGAATGTCCTAAATGTATGTTTAGATACAGTTGAAATGGTTTGACTTCAATGACCRTGGTCATTGTAGCAGCATAATATGGTTTTTTGCTGAATTACAGTCTTGGAGATGTTTGTGTAGTGTCAAAGCCTGCTCAGGTGGTGAGAACACTTCTGGGCAGCCTTTCTGTGTCTGGGCACACCCTCTACTTGGAGGCCTTTTCCCTTTGCTTCGTACAGGGTGTACAAACATAGCTGGTGGGTCTGAATAAACACTGTGTGGGTGAAGCAGTTGAGTTCCTCGTGGAGTACCAGGAAAAGCGTAAATTATTGTTGTCTGTCTTCTGACAGTAATGTGAACTTGCACCTTCGTACTAATTTTTAAGTCTGTGGCTTGAGTTGTTCATAGTATATTGTAATTGTTCATAATTCCTATTTACCCAATGCTAAGCTAGTCACTATCAAGCTGTTCCCTCSCCCTTTATAGACAACTAGAAATTACACAAACTTCAAGCATGTGCAGAAGAGGGGTCACAGCTCTAGGATACTGATCCTGGATTTGAGGTTGTTGGCAACCAAGCACTATCTCTTTAAGCGATCTGCTTGCCAGATTGCTTTCTCTTTTTTACCGCAAGTGATGCTTCTGTTCTTAAGCTCTCATCATGTCTAAACTCTGGAGGAAGGGATTGCTTGGGACTCAAACTAGGACTTGTTTGTGGCGCTGAGGCATTTGGAGCGTTAGAACCAAGGTCTGGCCAGGTGGGCTTTGCTGGAGGCCTGAGGTACCTGAGCTCCTTGCGCTGCTCTGGGGTCACTGGGGTGGCCCGGCACACACAGGGCCTGCTCGTGCAAGGCCAAGTCCACACAGGTTTGTCAGCAGTGTTTSGTTTAGCTAAACCACTTCCCAGGAATGGGCAGGGAGTATTCCTGGGAAGAGTAACTGTTTTTCTGTACGTTTGCTACCAGTGAGCCTGTGGAGCAGATAGTGGTTGAGGTTAATCTTTAATTCCATCTGGTTTTACCAAGTTTGAATCTAAAGAGTCTAGCATCAGCAGCAAGGGGGTTTGGAGCCCGATGAAGGACATGAAGTGCTTGCAGGATAAGAGTGTCAGTATTTTAATGGCTACTGTTAATTAATATACTGTACACTTGTATGCAAGGTAGTTATTCCTTAAAATACCTGTTCCACTGTTCTTTTGCTAGCCAGCTCTTGACTCTAAATGTGGCTGTAAAGCAGTATTTAAAACTGAACTAGGTGATCACAAAATTATTGAAGCAAAATGTTGCTTACAAATAGATGACTCACTGGAGGTTCTTCTGCATGTTCTTCAGGCTGTGTGAAAGTCTTGAGTAAGCAGACTTCGATAGCTACATGTTCACACTTGTATATGCAGCTTTAATCCTTGCTTGTCTGCTTTTTTCTTTTTATTTTCCTAATATGTGGTCACAAACCCAACTTTATTCTCAGAGCTGCTTGAGCATTGATTGAGTTGTTGTGTCTTCAGCTGTCTGCAGCGTGTCCAGCTTTGGCCTGAAGCTGCCCGGCAAGCTGCTGCCCTGGTGTGTCCTGCTTCACGCTCCTGCCCTCTCCCTCTTGGAATATTGCAGTTCCTGATTTTCTGCTGTGAGGGAGCTGTGGAAAGAAATAAGAATGCTACTTGGATCTGAACTACTGCTAATCAAAATGAGATCCTTTTAACTTGATGTTGTGTGCCTCAGTGAGCAAACTGTATTACGGTGTAGAGTCCCAACAAGCAGGAGCTGGTTTTCATGTGTCAGAACAGGAATGAAAGACAAGTTTGCAAATACTTTTCACTAGCTGATTCTGTGGTTGACTTGAATCAATGGGAAAATTATTCAGGGCAGGCTCTTGTCCTGCCTCCAGGGAAGGCGTTTTGAAAGAACTCTGGAATCTTTCTGTTTTGTTAATAACAGATTAAAATAAGAGCACTAATATTTTTCCTGCCTCCATAGGTAGGAGACTGATAGAGTCTCCTGCTGAAAAGGACCTAGCCCAGCTTTAAGAAATATGCAGAACTGAAGCAAAGTATCTCTAGTCCAGCTGTTTAAAAGACTAGTTTTGTTTTGTTTAGGAATTGGAGGGGAGGATGACTTGTTGCTGGTTCCTTGTCTGTGGCCTTTTTACTAATGCTTAAATCTAGTCCCCCTGTAAAGAAAATCTGAGGACTAGAGGCATCTTTCTTTTGGTCCAGAGCAAACAAATAAAAAAAAAAAAAAAAAAAAAAAATCCTGGAGTCCTCCTAGAATGGTCTATTTTTTGTGTTGCATTTGTGTCCAAGCTGTTGATGGGCTTTACAGCCCATCTGGGAAGCTTTTATACCTTGGCTGGATTCGAAAAGCCTTGAATATAGTTGTTCAAATCCTGTTTCCAACTGAGGAAAGGGGATTTGAGCAAAAATGTTAACTTTGACAGGTGTGCTTTTGCTTTTAGGAACTTCCCATGCTCTTGTGCTGGCTTTATTTTACCTTTTGGAGTCTTTTTTGATAAGTAATTTTCTCCCTTTCCATGGTTTTCRTATTTGTTCTTCTACTTTGAGGATTCAATCCTCATGTAAGAGGCAGAAAGTCATGCATTACTACTTACCTTATTGCAAACTCATTATTACCCAATGCAGTCATTGATGAATATTTGGAAATGTGATCCTGGTTCAGCTAACCGTTTTTCATTTCTTCTTAATTTTAGAATCTTTAAATATTCTTGGCAAGCATGAAAACAACAGTTTGAGTGTCTTGCAGGACAGTTGATATGTTCCAGAGAAAAGCTGTTTGTTCTGCAAAGCTCAGAAGAATCTGCATTCTCTTGGATTTTAAATGAATTTAAAATGAAGGTATTTTGAAAGTTATCCTCCAAAATGAATATTGAGAAGTCAGATGAAAAAGCAAAGAATGACTTGAAGTCTTCATTACTTCTAAGTGATGAAAATGGGAATAACTACGCATGTGGAAAAGCTTCACCTTGCCCAAAGAACTGTGCCACCATGATGCAGACAGACCAACGTGTGGGGGCTGGGATTGACTATGATACCAATGCTGAAGATGAGAGTGACTTCAAAAGTATCCCCTTTAAAAAGCAATGCACTGAAGCACTTGATTTGCAGGAAGCTCCTGGTGAGTGTAACTGTCCGGGAGCTTTCCTGGGAGATCCAGGTGCCATGTGCATGTCAATGACTGACCAGACTTACGTGTGTACTTTGAACTGTGACCTGGCTGAAGCATGTTTGCTGAAAGATAACCTTGCCGTGGCAAACATGCCGAATCCAGGTGTTGAGCAGTTGGTGCCTTACAGTCGGACTGACTGGAACTGTGTGTTGCCCCTTGCTGCCTCAGAGCAGAAGGCACAGCCTGGGGTAAGCGATGGGGTGCACTGCCACCTGGGCACTCTAGATGCTCCTAGTATGGGGGGAACAGCGGGAACAGATCCAAGCCAGGACGTGTGCCTGAGGAAAACACTAGTATCCTCTGGCAGTGAATATCCAAAAGAGCAAGTTGATGCAATTGGCCTAGAAAAAATGCCTTATTTTCCCCCTCTGCTAGAGGCTTCGCAAAGCTCATGTGCCCATTCAGAGCTTGAGGTGCTTCGTCCAAGCTCTGCAGGTGTCAAACACTATCCAGAAACCACCAACTCTACTGAGAAAGGACCGCAGAAAATGGAAATAAAGTCTGCAAAACCAGCTGCTGGATGTATAGATCCTCCCAGGAGGGACTTTTTAGCACCGTGTGTTAGTACTTGTGAAGATGAGCAAAAGAAATCCCCAGAGCATACCCTTGAGCATGATAAAATGGGCCATTCTGCTGTGGAAACACTGAGGGGTAGACCTGTAAGCAAGGTAYCCCTCTTCCCAGTAGATACTATTGATGGAAAACAAGTATCGAAAAAATCAAGTGAATGTTTAACTAAAGAACAAAGTGTTCCTGGAAATGCTGCTTCCGACGGTAGCAACAGCAGGTCTTTCATGACCGAGATACAAATCTGCAGTAAACCAAAACCGCAGAGGACTGTTAAGCCTGAACTGAAATGTGACACAACTTTTGTGGTCTTCAGCCCTGTGATTGGCCAAAGTAGTTCGGCTCTACGTACTTCAACTCCTAAAGAGCAATCAAAAGATTCAACTTTTTTCATTTCCACTATGGATGAACTTRGGGACAAGCCTTCTAAGCCACTTTGCAAAGAAGTGCTTTTAGGAGAGCATGATAGGAAGCCTCTGTTTAAAACTAGTTCAGGTCAAATAGCAGAAAAGGCAGTAGGCAGATCTCCTCTTGTGTCCAAAATAACCAAAGCAAAGAAATCGGAGATTGTTAGTTTTCCCAAACCTAATTTCAAAAATGTTAAGCCAAAGGTTATGTCCAGACCTGTGCTACCCTCAAGAGAAAATGTGTCATTGAAAGGGTCCCCGCAATCCCCCCAGCTGTCTGCTGCTCCATCATGTTCACCATTTKCTTCCCCGAGGCAACTGTCCCCTTCCATGAAAACGCTGAAAAAGAAAATAGATCTAGGGAAAGATACGAAAGTGGAGCTGCCTGTGAATAAGCCCCACAAGCTACATCTTAGCAAACATCTCTTCGCTAGCCAAGTTCTGCATGCCGCAACCCATTCCAGAAGCGCTTCCCACAAGGCTTCAAAGACACCTGCGTTAAAGCCCAATCCGGAAGACCTCGGCAAAGCAAGCTCTTCCAACTCGGCATGCTCCCTGCCTTCTGCTGCACTGGCGTGTGCAGAGAGCTCCAAAGGGGGAACCAAGGAGAAGATGGAAAGTTCAGGGGCTTTAATGCAGCCCTGTGCTCAAAGCCTCTGCCCAGCTGGAGCTGGGAAAGAGCAGCCCGACAACGTGGGAGCTCTGGAAGCGGAGTTGTTCCAAGATCAAGCAAAGGAAACCTTTGACTTGCACTCTGTACCTGTGGTAAGTGTTTTGAATGCAATGATATGTTTCTGTGTGTGGAAAAAACTCTGCCTTGCACAGTGCTGTGAATGGAAATTGCAGGATGGAGCGTGTCTGCTAATGCAGTTGTAGATAATTGGTGCGTTTGGAATGAAGCTGTAGATTTCTGCTGTCAAATGCCCTTTCAGTATAGGGAGAGAAGTGTAGTTTTACTTGCTGGCTGAACATTTAACTAAACAGTAGGCACTCCAAGTACTACCTAACGTTTTCAGCTGTCATTTCATGGTGTAAGTTTTCTGTCAAGTCTTGCTCAAAGCTGTCAGTAAGCTTTCAAGTACAAGTATGCAAGTCTTCAGTTCGCTGCCCTAGTAAAACTCTGTAGCATAACTTGTTAAGATTTTTCTAACTATAATGCGTATTAATACACACCAAGATCATGGTAGCAGTTTTGCAACTTCAAGTGAAACTTAGAATTGCCTGGTTTTGGTAGTAAATTCTAAAGCAAACTTTAAAAATAAACAATATTTTCAACATTTCCATAAGAAAGGTTACACATTAACATTAACAATTTCAAGTAACATGAAATCCCAAAGCCAGCAAGTTGCTGAGGGACTTAGTTTTTTAACTGTGTGTTTTGAATAATTTGGGATTTTTATTTATCTATTTGAAGTAAAGAAAAGCTCGCTAAAAAAGCTCGCTAAAATAGTCAGATGAGCCAAGAAGGCGTTTTCATGAAGAAAGCATATAGTTTTTTTGGGCAGTCAGCCAGCTGGAAGGCGTGAGCTTCCTGGCCGCAAGGTATGTATCCACTCATTGGTTGGGAAGCATTTTGGCCTAGTCAGCTACCTGTCAGGAGAAACGTGTTGCTTTCAAATGCTCCGAAAGAGGCTTGTGAGAAGAGGAATGGTGGGAAAGAATGGAAAAGCTTGGAGCTGGGTGGAAGAAATCAGACAAGGCATCACAGGGGTGCAGAGTTGAAGTCCTGGGGCTGTGCAGATTCCTTTCTGCTTGCCTGCTAGTTCAACAGCCTTATTTTAAGGCAGGGAAATGGAGGCAGCCTCTGTGATCAGTAAAACTGGTGTTGCCAAAGTCACAGGCTTTGCCTAGATCAAGCTCTGAACCTTAGTAGGTGAAGGGAACTGCTTCAGAAGCAAATGCCCATTTTGGAAGCAGTGTGGAACAAATTGAGTTATGCCTAATATTATTTATCAAGGAACTAAATGGGCATGAAAGCAAGGGCAGACTCTCTATTTCTGAGGTGTTTTAAAGCTTGAGTTCTGTCTCATCCCTTACTTTTCAAAGTGAGGGCTGAAAGATGCTTCAAAATGATYGGGTTACCAGGATGGAAAACTCTACTGCACTAATTGTGCTGTGTGTGCTTGGAAAATCCATTAGAAGAATCTCTATAATGCCCTGCACAGTAATCAGATGGAATCCATTTAAGGTTATCCTCTTCTAAGTGTGAAGTTAATATTGGAAAATGAAGGCTRTAGTCAAGTGTGAAGTGCATGCAAGACCCCCAAGTCATTGCTTCCCTGCTTGAGTCGCAAAAAGGCAGGTGGTGGATGCCTGTGTGCTTGGTAGCATGAGTAGGTCTGATTTAGTGCCTGTTTGGTCAGGAACAAGAGTTCTCTGCACAAGGTAGGTGAAGGATACACCATAAGCCAGGGATTTTTAGGCCTGTCCTGGAACTGTGCTGGAATTTGTGTTGTCTATGCACCTGAACGGGAAAGGATTTTCCTGTTTCTGTGTTTCCAATTTAAGGTTTAGACCAGGAAGCTTATTATAGTAGCTGTGATATTTCAGATAATGTAGCATAACTAAGAATTCAGCATGCTAACCTGTGTAGTGGGTAAAGAATTCATCTTGATGAGGTGTGTTCATGTAATCAAATGATTTAATTAAAGCTTTGGTGGGGGAGAGGGGGCAGGGTGGGAACGCTGACCTAAAATGATAACATGTGTAACCTCATCAGCATGTTTGTTGTTATCAGTGACTACCTTGAAACTTTTATGTTGCTTAAGGCCATGTAAGAGATTGTTTTTGAAGCTCTCAAGTGCAGATAATATTGCTGACTGCTTCCTTTGGACCATGTGACAGCAAATGGCTAAACATGTCCCTTAACTGCATGATCAGTGTTTTATTGCAGATGCCAGAAAGTGTGGGGTTTTTTTTGTTTATTGGCAGACGTCTTCTGTGAAAGCTGGGGCAGCAGAAGGGAAGAATACATCCAAGAAAGGCCCYGTGGCGCTGCGAAGCACGCCAGCCTCCAAGGTGAGAATGGTGTCACCTGCCTTGAAGAGAGGAAATGAGAATATCTGCACAGCTAAAGGACCTTCTCACAAAGCAGCTGTTCTATCAAGCTCTGGTAAGAGAGTTTGCCCTGGGATACTGCCACCTAATTGAACTCTTAATTTTAAGATATCACTTTTAATATGCTTTCTATGAGAACATATATGATAGCATGGGGCTATACTTTTTTTAGGGCTAAATGTGATTCTACCTAGATGGCAAATTGCTAATATGCATGACAGGGGAGACTCATCTGGTAAGGCATGTGTTTAGGAGGATGAGGCTGTTAGAAATCATATTTCAATGTTATGTACAGTCAAGTTATGTAACARAACTTTGTGCAAATGATTGCTAAAACTACTTGAAGAATGTGAAAGTGAAAAGGGGGGGCAGAAAATAGATGTTGGACACAAACAGTGTCTGACAAAGGGCTCTGTACTTGTAGACTCTGTACTATAAGGAGCATGAGCCCTCCTTTCAGGGCATAAATGATTTTTTTTCAATCTAGTTTCAGTAGCTCTGCTTTCTGGAAAGGGAAGAATGTAATTGAATGAGACACTCCAGTTTGAGCCTCTAAGTTGTCTCCAGTCAAACACCAATGAGAAAAATCTCTACCAGTCTGTAGGCCGATGTTCCAACTTTATAAACTACACTTTGTAATTATACTGCAGGGCTTCAGAAATGCTCCTATGGGGGATGTGCTTTTTAAAGCGTGTGGCAGTGTAGCTAATGGCAAAAGTAGCTTGGCTATAAATGACTGCACTACAATGCACTGTAATTTGAAAAGTGTGCACACCCAGCTGCAGCCAGCAAAACCTGTTCTTCGTTTTTCATCACCCACCCAATCTAGGATATAAAACAGGCCAAAACACTCGCATCAATTATATACAGGTGGTGGAATGAAGTGAAAAAAAATTTGCTGCAGTCTCTGGTGGAGCAAATCGCTCAGAGGGGATTTATGCTATTTCGACTTGAAACTTGCTAATGTGAAAGCCATGTTCATTGAATAGGGTACCTGTAAACCACCAATCTCTGGCAAAGCTCGTTAACAGGTTAAAATAGCAGAAATAGCAGTTTAGAGCTTTCCTATCAGTAATTAGAATCTTAGAAGAACGGAGATGGGTGGCAATTGGTGGGGGTTTGGTGGTTTCCCTCCTTTCACACACTTAATCTGGAGCAGCTTTGTGTCACCTTCACTGACAATATGTGCGAGTCTGGCTGGCTATAGGAAGAATTATGTTCTACTTCTGAAAGCTGTGGGGATTTTTTTGTTGTCTTTTTTTAATAACGGGAAGAAGTCGTTCACAACGAGCACCTTTTTCTCCAACGTTCAGATTCCACAACTTGATTGCTCCCCGATGTAATAGCATAAATTGAGCAAATTTTTGGTCAGTTTTGGGGTGTGTTTGGTCACTTGGGCTYGAGTACAAATGCAGTCAGTCTGTCAGTTACTGATGACTGCAAAAGAGCAATGGTGGTTTAGCATCGTGTCACGTCTCAAGTGTGTCCTGGAGAAGAGCAGGGCCAACTGCTCTGAGTCGTTGTGGGTGCATCTTTAGCACAAACAAGGCTTGTAAGCAATGGGTTGTTATCCACTATTTTGGGTGGAAGTAGAAGCAATTGCACTTCCTGTAAACAAACTTTTTTTCATAGATAACACACTAGAAAGGCAGGTATTCTAAGAAAATTCCCTTGTCCCCTTCCAGATAGGAGTTGACAGAGACTTAATYCCTTCTGGTTCCTGTAAACACTCTAATTTTATATGCAGAGCATTTTAAGCTAGAAAGAAAAAGAGCTACGTCCTCCATGTGTGACTGTTTCAGAATGTGTGCTGAACACTGTTCACCAGTACGACTTGATCTTGGCTGAAACCTGAAATTCTTGCTGAAGTAGAAGTTTGCTCTCAGAGGTGAACCCAACTGCATTGCGTGTTCCCAAGTGGCTTGTAAAATGAAGAACCATTTGTGTAGCAAAAGCAACTTCCACATCTAGCCAGATACCTCCAAATGGTTTCTCCTTGTGTTTTTCTACCTCTCTATAAGAGGGATTGACTTGGCATCACATACTTATTCTGGAATGAAAATCATATTCTCTAAAGCTGATTTTTCCATAATAAAATACCTGGGGAGAAAAGCATAGTACTGGATGACGCTGACTGTGCCTTTCTGGTTCCTATTAGTAAAAATACCTGTTAGAATTGGAGACCTACAAAATGAGGTGTTTGAGTCACCTGGTTTTAGCTTGAAGGTGTACATAATTTTTGGAGTCTTGGAACTGGCTTAAGGACCTGAAGTGAAATGAGGGGAGTTGTTGTTTTCAGTCCCAGCCACCTGTACAGCCATCTAATTGGATACTCTTAATCACTGTGTGAAAAGTAGTAATCTGCTAGTAGCTGGGGTAATGTGGCTTCAGTTAGGTCATGTGTTTGGTTCAAGGCACTGGCTGGTCCCTTGGAATGTCACTCCAATTTCTTGCTTCAAATTCTCTTGCTGTCAACCACTTCCCAAAATTATATACTGCCACCCATGGGACTGGACTGAAGGACTGTGATAGTCTGGGCCGCAGGGAATTTGATTTGTGTTTGAACAGTGCGAGAATACTCATGAATACCTCAGAGTTAAAATATAAACGCCTATTTTCCTTGCACTGTATGCACCCTATCCACATGTAAAGTATTAGCATGTCAGAAGTATAAGAAGTATAATATAAGAAAGTAGAAAAATAGTAAAAGCCTCAATACTTGATCTACACTTTGCCTCAATTACACTATTGTTTTCAATGATTCTGTGTTATACAAAACTTTGTGTTATTGGTGCTACTATAGCTATGAGGGCTTTGTCAAGTCTTATGTGCCTTTGAAAGTATTTGAGAATCTGAAAGTGCCCAAAACTTTGTCTGATAGCTGCWAAGAATTGCTAGACTCTAAAGCAAGCCATTTAAACCTTTGTGACCACAATATCCTTTGCCACAATATCCTATGCCTAAAGCATAGTTCCTCTGGTAATTTTCTCTCTCATTCTTCCTACTGTTCTGACTTGGATTAAGTTGCTGAGATCCCATTAGTGGAGTTACTGATAAGTGCTTTAGGTTCTATGAGTCTAATCCAGTGGCACTTCCTTCTCCTCTCTTGCTAGCTTCAGTGCACTTCAGTGCATCTCCATAGCCTGTATCTAGAGTAATGAGCATTTATGCCTGGAGAGAGGAGCTCAACATGCCAAGTTTTGCTCTTGGACTTGAGAAACGTTGATCATGCTGAAGGACTTGAGCATTCTGCAGGGGAGTAGGGKGGAAATTAACAGCCTGTGAATGATAAAAGACAGTGTTCATCACTGAGGGKTTTTTTTTGTTGTTGCTTGCTACACAAGGTTTCAGTTTCCAAATGAATTAAATGGATTTCCATTGTTTCCATGCAACTGGAAATGGATAGGTAAAGTTTGTAATTGAGGACTTTTTGGCAGTTTTCCACAAGATTAGTGAAGCAGATCCAGAATAGATCAGGTTTAATAAACATTCCCATTCTTGAGTTACTGTTCTGACAGTGAACCTAGGAACTAACCCAGGCCTTGTTACTGCAGTTCAGCTTGTGTTATTTCTGTTATCTACCATGTGATTTATTAAAACTGAAATGCCTTGTTGTCAAGAAGAAACAAAATACTTTAAAAAGTGAGCATCACCTCCAGGCTGTCTGGCCTGAAACTGCCAGAACTTTCTCAAAAGGCTGTTTTGGAGGGTTAGGCAGAATGGGCATCTGCCATGGGTGTGGGGTCTCTTGGTCAAACCTGAAGTGCCCTGGAAAGAGCACAAATAGGATTAAAATCTAGTTTCAGCTCCTCTTAACTTTTCTTCCTTCCAGAAGAGAACTCCTAAAAGCAGTTTTTCTTGTCCAAGACATTGTTTGTTGTTCTTCCCATCAGCCCAGTCTAACAAACTTGCTCCACGATTTTTGATGACAAAATCGGTGCTACTTGGGCTGCTTTTCAGCCTCTTCCTTCCTTTTGAATTTGTTAGGTCCTCTTGGAGTTGCACTCAGGGAAGAAGCTTGATGTCTCTCAATAACTGTTTAATGCCTCTGAAGGGCCTTTGGGCCAGGTGATCAGTTTGTTCAGGAAACCTTGCTAGTTGAGAGGGCTCAGGAATCTTGCAGGGCCCTCCTTTCTATGGAAGTCTGAGTGAGTTGAGATCTCAGAGCTGGTGCTTCCACTCCAGCCAGCTGCTTCCTGACTGTCCTTGGGAGCTGCCCAAAGCCATGTGCCAGACACAGAGCTCCTGCTGGAAGCTCTCACTGGTTTGTGTACAGAWTGATCACTTTGCCCTTTGAACCCAGACAAGGGCTACAGTCTGAACTGGGCAAAAGCAATTTGCTTTTGATCTCTGGCTTCATRGCACTATGAGAAATACGCCATTTTGCACTTCATGAACAAGGCACTAACTTCTCATGGGATAGGGAACTTAATATTCTGCAAGCCTGACGTTTAGTTCAGCATAAAGTCTCCTAATTGAAATGAATTTAGTATTAATTACAAGTCAAATGGATTGAGAAATACAGGTACTGCTCTTCGGCTGTGAGGTAATCTGTRACCTCTTGCAATGAATGACRTAAGTACTAGATTGGTTGGTTGATTGAACTCTAGTTTGGTAACCTTAAATGTGGGGTTTTTTTAGGGGGGAGGGAAGGGACAATGTCTAAATTTAATGTAAAGATCATTAATGTCATCCTAATACTTGGAATAATCTCCAGTATTCAGTGGAACCCACTTAGCCCTTGACTTTAGCCTTCCAAGAGTAACCCATCTTGTTAGCTCTGTTTCTGGTGCAAAGAGTGACCCTGTTTGAAGAATTGAGTGCAATTTTTCATAAATGTTTTTAGTGCTTTACATATGACTTGTGGCATATCCTGTAAMCGTGCAATATCTGAAGCAAGAAAAATCTGGTCATACTTCTAATGACTGGTACTAGTACTCCACTTGTCAGTGCTATGAGAAATGAGAGTGTTCTTAGCTATACATGCCTTTACGAGGGAGGTGTGCACCAGTTTGCTGCATGGTAAATTCTTGGGACTGCTTACTTGCAAGTTTG